AAATTCCAGACTTCAAGTTATATTACAAAGCTGCAGTAACCAAAACAATATGGCAACCGGCACAAAAATAGACACATAGATCAATAGAACAGATCAGATAATCCAGAAATTAATTCACAATTATGTGGTCAATTAATCTTTCACAAAGCAGGAAAGAATATCCAATGGGAAAAAGACAGTTGCTTCAACAAATGGTATTAGGAGCACTGGACAGGTATATGCAAAAGAAGGAAACTGGACCACTTTCTTACACTATACAGAAAAACAAACTCAAAATGGATTAAAGACCAAAATGTGAGGCCTGAAACCATAAAAATCCTAGAAGAGAACACGGGCAGTTATTTCTTTAACATAGGCCATAGCAACTTCTTTCTAGATATGTCTCCTGAGGCAAGGGAAACAAAAGTAAACTATCGGTACTACATCCAAATAAAAAGCTTTCTGCATAGTGAAGGAAAAAACCAACAAAACTAAAAGACAACATACTGAATGGGAGAGGATATTTGTAAATGACATATGCAATAAAGGGTTAGTATCCAAAATGTATAAAGAACTTATAAAACTCAAAACCTAAAAAACAAATAATTCAATTAAAAAATGGGCAGAAGACATGAACAGACATTTCTCAAAGACATCCAGATGGCCAACAGACACATGATAAGATGCTCGTCAACACCTACCATCAGGGATACGCAAATCAAAACTACAATGCAATATCACCTCACACCTATCAGGATGGCTAAAATCAACAACACAAGAAAAAACAGGTGCTGGTGAGGATTGGAGAAAAAGAACCTTTGTGCACTGTTGGTGGGAATGCAAACTGGTGCAGCCAATGAGGAAAACAGTATGGAGTCTCCTCAAAAAGTTAAAAATAGGAATCCCTACTCTCCAGCAATCACACTACTGGGTATTTACCCAAAGGATACAAAAACACTAATTCAAAGGGATACATACACCCCTATGTTTATAGCAGCACTATTTATAACAGTCAAGATATGGAAGCAGCCCAAGTGTCCATTGATTATTGAATAAAGATGCTGTGGTATATACATATAATGGAATATTATTCAGCCATAAAAAAGAATGAAATCTTGCCTTTTACAACAACATGGATGTAGCTAGAAAGTATAATGCTAAGTGAAATAACTCAGTCAGAGAAAGACAAATTCCATATGATTTCGCTCATATGTGGAATTTAAGAAACAAAACAAATAAGCAAAGGGGGGGGGAAGACAGAGGCACAAGCCAAGAGACGCTTAATTACAGAGAACAGTACGATAGTTACCAGAGATGGGGGTGGGTGGAGGGATCAGTTAAACAGGTGACAGGGATTAAGGAGTGCATTCGTCCTGATGAGCACCAGGTGAGAGATGTAATTTTGAATCACTATTTTGCACACCTGAAACTAAAACTAACATGACACTGCATGTTAACTGGAATTAGAATAAAAATTTTAAAAAAAAGAAAAAAGAAACAGCATATACCCAACACATATCACCATACTTACACCATATACACTTACCACACATATATTACACACACACCACCAGACACCAAACTCACATTACACATGCCCTACCCATATACCACTCATACTACATAAACAACCACACAACACACACAAAAGACACAAACACATGGATCTCACTAACGTACAGCATACATATAACCAACACACAAGAAACACACAACACTCATACAACACACACACATATAATACCATAGACACACATTTCACACATAAATATATTACCTACACACCAGGCATACACACCACACAGTCACACATAAAACATACCCAACGCACACACCACACATATACCACACATAGAGTAGACACAAACACAAATACTGCACTTACAACACTCACACCCTGCATACACCACCACACACAAAAAAACACTTCATACATACCCAACACACACACCATACACATTACACATACTAACACACTCCACACACACAACACTCACAAAATGCATAAACCACATACCAACTCAAGACATATACCACATTATTGTCACATAAAGATCACACATTTAACACACACACATCACACAATAACACCACACATTCACAACATACACAAAACACACATACCACACAAACACACACGCTAAAAAAAATCATGGAAACATTAACCAAAAGAGAGCTGGGAATGGCTGTATTAATATCAGACTAAATTAGTTGTATTAATATCAGACTAAATTGACTTTAGGATGATAGCACATATATAATCCAAACTTTTGTTGTGGAAGTTTGTCAAAAGCTTTTTGAAATTGAAGTGTTTTTCTTCTTTATCCATATATTTGCTCCTACAAGTTCTAAGAAAACATAAGGTTTTAGTGCCACTTATATAAACACACCCTTCTATTAAATCATGTTTCCTATATATTCAAATTTCTATTCTCTGTGTGTGGCACAGAATTCTGCTTTTTAGCATTTTACAAACTGCATTAAAATATAGATTTTTTCCCTTGAGTTGAGATTTATAGATTAAAAAAAAATTTTTTTTTTAATGTTTATTTTGAGGAAGAGAGAGACAGAGTGCAAGCAGGGGAGCAGCAGAGAGAGAGGGAGACACAGAATCTGGAGCAGGCTCCAGGCTCTGAGGTGTCAGCATAGAGCCTGACACGGGGCATAGAGCCATGAACCATGAGATCATGACCTGAGCCGAAGTTGGATGCTTAACTGACTGAGCCACCCAGGTGCCCCGAGGTTTATAGATATTAAGCTAGAGAAAAAGCACACAGAATTCAAGACAGCTGTTAATATTTCTTAAAGAACTTGTAGAGGTGCCTGGGTGGCTCAGTTGGTTAAGCATCCAACTTCGGCCCAGGTCATGATCTCATGGTTCATGAGTTAGAGCCCTACATTGGGCTCTGAGCTCACAGTGCAAAGCCAGCCTAGGATTCTCTCTCTCCCCATCTCTCTCTCTGCCCCTTCCCCACTTGTGCGCGTGCTCTCTCTCTCTCTCTCAAAATAAAGGAATAAACTTAAAAAAAAAAGGAATAGTCTGAAAAACTTTAGTCAAATATGTGTTTTTAATTTAATGAACTATTAATTTTCATTAGGAGTGAAATTATCTCCATTTCCAAAACCCTAAAACCTTATTTCAAGTAAATAACTCTAGAGATTTAATAAGAGGTAGAAATTAAGAAATGTGAAAAAATATCTACAATCTACAAAGACTAGTCTTGGTCTTAGAATATATCAGTAACTTAAATGTACATAACACTTCGCAGATTTTAAAGGCATTTTCTATACATTGCATTATTTGATTCTTTCAAGAACCCTTGCCAGATGGCAGAATAAGTACCATTACTCCCATTTTACACATTAAGAATCAATGGCTCAGCAAAGACAAAGTAAGTCCCAGGCAAGATGGCTAATAAGTTTCAGAGTTGGGCTCTTCTGATTCGAGGTCCTTTGGCATTTCCTAAATCTCACAGTGCCACTAGAGACATAACTGTAAGGCACAATTATGCTCTTCTCCTTTTGTAATTTACAAAGCAATAATAGGGAGAGCTACAGAGAAAGAATGTTCAGGTGGCTGAATCAGATTCTTAAGGGGATCTTCAATAGTATAAGACTATGGGGAGAGACTATCTATTCATCTTAACTGCTACTTCTAGATACCTTTAAAAATCCGTTCCCTACCAAGAAGTGTTTCTTTTTTTCTAAAAAGTGAAAGAAGGTAAAGAGGTAGAAGGAGGACTAAGGCAGTAGAGGATTTTTACTTCTGTTTCAAGCCTTTTTCTGAAAAATCTTTAGCCTTTTCAAAAATTATTAAAAAAAAATTTTTTTTAATGTTTATTTTTTGAGAAAGAGTGTGAGTGCAGAGGGGCAGAGAGAGAGGGAGACACAGTATCTAAAGCAGGCTCCAGGCTCCAAGCTGTCAGCACAGAGCCCAATGTGGGGCTTGAACTCACAAACTGCGAGATCATGACCTGATCTGAAGGTGAATGCTTAACGGATTAAGCCACCCAGATGCCCCCCAAAACTACTTTTTGATTAATACTTTTTGGTATTAAATTTGAATCTATTCTAAAAATATAGGCAAACTGTCAGAGAATGGTGAATCAAATGTACTTTGCATTCTTACTGAGGTCATTTCCAGTACAGTAAGGAGAGCTTAGCTTATATTATGATTTTAAAATAGTCTGCAAATTAATAATAAGTTCATACACAAACGCCATTCAAAACACCTGGTCATATCAAGTTAATATCTGTTATAGGTTAATTTCTCTTTTTTAGCTGATGGGGCGCCTGGGTTGCTCAGTTAAGCGTCTGACTTTGGCTCAGGTTATGATCTCACTGTCCCTGGGTTCAAGCCCCGCATCAGGCTCTGTGATGACATCTCAGAGCCTGGAGCTTGCTCTGGATTCTGTGTCTCCCTCTCTCTCTGTCCCTCCCCTGCTCACACTCTGTCTCTCTCTCTCAAAATAAATAAACATTAAAAAAAAATTTTTTTTTTTTAATTCTCTTTTTTAGCTTAAGTGATGAGTGGGCAGTGAAAAAGTTTTTTAAAAGAAGAAAAAATAGGGGCATCTGGGTGGCTCAGTCAGTTAAGCGTCCAACTTTGGCCCAGGTCATGATCTCACAGTTCGTGAGTTTGAGCCCCACATCAGGCTCTGTGCTGACAGCTTGGAGCCTGGAGCCTGCTTCGGATTCTGTGTCTCCCTCTCTCTCTGCCCCTCCCCAGCTCATGCTCGCACTCTGTCTCTGTCAAAAATAAATAAACTTCAAAAAAAAAAAAAAAGAAAGAAAAAATAAAGAAAAAAAAGAAAAAATAATTCTTAATAAATTACATCAAATAAAATATCCTGATGTATGATGAATTGTGTTAACAACATATTAGCAATACAAACTACCTTACTGCTTTAAAAAAGAAAAAAAAATCGTTAAGAAAGAAGTTTCTCAACTTAAACAACTCCCACTTATTTTGGCACACATTATTTTTACATTGACTGAAAATTTTTTTCAGAATAACTTACCATTCTTTAATAGTTACTTCTCTAATCCCTTCTCCAATGTCTGAGAGTTTGAATTGAACAACTTGTCCCTGCAGAGCTTCAAAGAAAAATGAAAAATGATCTCATTAAATATGTAATATACTTCTAATAGATGCTTTTATAGCTAAAATTAGAAAATATTCTCAAGCAGAAGCAGAAACCATTGCATTTCACAGATAAAAAAGTGTTGCATAATTTTTAAAAGCGTAATTGTCATTCATAACCATCAAAGATTTAAATAAATTATTCAGTATCACAGACCTACTGATATTGTCACAGCACTTACATTTTCCAACTTCCAAAATAATGTTCCTTTACAAGGGTATAGAAGGCCCAACTAGCTGGATAGCCTTGTTTTCTGTTATTAAACTGTAATAATCACTAGTGTCCCACTCTTAGATCTCTTCTGACTTCATATAACTATTCTCATTTTTAGTGGCTAATGATCAGGCGTACACATCTAGAAAACCTGATGAAAAATTTCTCTGTCCACCATGTTCTGCCAACTTATCATTAAATTTCAGTCCTCTTTCCATTTTTCACCCCTTTTTGAATTTCTACCCCCCACTTGTGTAACAATTAGATACAAATGATACTTTATGGTAATTATTCCCAAGAGAAAGTATTTCTGGTCAACAACCTATGTTCCTCTCACTTTTCCACGGTAACACGTGACTCTGAATGGATTCCAGAGTGCTCCTCTAGGGGGCACCTGGGGGGCTCAGTCAGTTAAGCCTCTGGCTCTGGCTCTGGCTCAGGTCATGATCTCATAGGTCATGAGTTGGAGCCCTGTGTCAAGCTCTGTGCTGACAGCTCAGAGCCTGGAGCCTGCTTCAGATTCTGTCTCTGTCGCTCTTTGCCCCTCCCCACTCGCACTCTGTCTCTCTCTCTCTCTCTCAAATATAAGTAAACATTAAAAAATCTTTTTTAAAAAGTGCTCCTCTATCTTCAGACTGCTGTTAATTAAAATTGCTTATAAAACACACAACAAGCTGATTAAGGTAGTAAAACTTTCTTCAATAAATATGAGGAGTCAGTTAATGGTTAAGAAATACAAATACATTTCTGATATAGAGGTATTAGGTACCTCTTGTTTCCTCTCTATCTAGTAAGTTGGGTCCTCTCACAGCCTGCTGCTCGTAGTATAAACTGGAACCTCTCTGAAAAAATAGTTTGGTGTTAAGTATCAAAAGCTTAAAGAAAAAAAAAAAAAAGAGGGGGCGCCTGGATGGCTCAGTTGGTTAAGTGTCCAACTTGGGCTCAGGTCATGATCTCATGGTTCACAAGTTCAAGCCCTGCATTGGTCTCTGTGCTGACAGCTCAGAGCTTGGAGCATGCTTCAGATTCTGTCTCCCTCCCTCTCTGCCCCTCCTCCCCCACCCACCCCCCATCTCTCAAAAATAAATAAATATCAAAAAAAGGAAAGTCCTTCTCTTTGACTCAATAAGCAATTCTGCTTTTAAGACTTTTTCCCCCATGAGGAAACAATTAAGATAGGTACAAAAAGATTTATGCTCAATAATAGCTTTCATAGAGTTAAAATGAAGACTTGGAATATCAATCTAAGTCACCAAAAAATGACAAGTAAATATACTATGGTACTTCTATACAAAACAATATTATGCAAGGAACAACATGAGCAAGAAGAACATGGAAATATAGTGCACAGTATGGTTAGGGAATAACACACAGCTCCATATAGCTGAAGATAGTATATGTGGCAAGAAGTCAGTCCAGATTTAAAAGACTTTCTTCGTGGTGCCTGGATGGCTCATTTAGTTAAGCATCTGACTCGTTATTTCAGCTCAGGTCATGATCTCACGGTTTGTGAGATCTCTCTTTCTCCTCTGCCCCTCCCCTACTCACACATGCACTGTCTCTCTCAAAATAAATAAATAAACTTAAAGAAAAAAAAAAGACTTTCTTTGCCATGCCAAGGTGAGGTGTCTGGAATTTATCCTAAAGGTAATCAGGAGCCAGATGTAAGTAAAATATGGTCATAAATTTTTTGCAGCTGCTCCCATAAGACATAAAGTCTGATTCACCACAACTTAAATCTATGCTGGCCTGTCACTTGCTTGGACAATAGAATATAGCAGAAATGAAGTTGTACAAATTCTGGAGCCTAGACCTCAAAGGACCTCGCAGCATCTTCTACCTTCTCCCTCTTGGAATACTGCCTTGAGATCCCTGAGTAAGGAAGCCTTCTAGTCTACTGGAGGATGAAAGGCTATATGGAGAAGAAATGACAGGCCCCACCTGAAAACCAGCACCACTGTCAGACATGTATGTGAGACCATCTTAGACCTTCCAGCCCAGATGATTCTCCAGCTGAAGACAGCCATATTAGTGAGTTCAGTGAAACCAGCGGAGGAAGCACCCAGGTAACCCTGAGAATACTGAGAAATCATAACTCACTGTTGCTTTAAGCCACGAAGTTGTAGACAGGGTTATTATTCAGGCATAATAAATCAATAGGGCATACCATCTGCAATTTCAGATCTGTAACCTGAGATCTGTAATTCTGGAAACAAATCTCTCTGGCAGGAATGTGGTGGATGGGGTTGGGGAAGGAGTGACGGACAAAGCAGTTAGGAGGCTACTACAGGTAAGAAACTGAAGTATGGAACTTAATATATTTATATATTTTCAAAGCTGTCTAAAAAAGAGAAGACAAATTTAAAAATCATGTAAGATGTAAAATTAATAGATTTACGTAACCAATTTGATATGAAACAGGAATCAGGAAGACTTCAGGTTTCTAGCTTGAATATTCATTTAGTGAGGGGATATAGGAAAAGAATATATATCCAGAGCACCAAAACAGTGCCTTGGCAGATAGTAGGTGATCAATAAATATCTGTGTTAAATGGATTTATTCTCACAACAATACAATGACTTAGATACTATGATTAATCCCATATTACAAATGATGAAATAGAAAGAAATTAAGTAACTTGCTTAAAGTTACACAGCTAGTAGGAGTTTCCACTTGAATGGCTTCTATCTTCTCTGAGAAGACAAAAGATCAACTTTTAAAATAAAAATCTGAGCCTGGATGGCTCAGTTGGTTGAGCATCTGACTCTTGATTTCGGCTTAGGTCATGACCTCAGGGTTGTGAGATCAAGCCCCTTGTTGGGCTCCATACTGGGTGTGAAGCCTGCTTAAGATTCTCTCTCTGTCTCTGTCTCTGTCTCTGTCTCTCTCTCTCTCTCTCTCTCCCCCTTCCCCCCGCCTACGCCTCTCCCACACACATGTGTGTGCATGCACATGCTCTCTCTCAAAATAATAAAAATAAAAATAAAATAAATAAATAAATATTTTTAAAAAGCGGTGAAGATAGGGTTTATATATCTTTGGATGTTGTGAAAGATGATCTGTAAAAGGCATGGAAAGACTGACTGATCTCAGGGGCTGGATCTGCCTGGAATTTCCCCAGTTTTCACTGCTAGCACAGACTAAGGCACCAAGTATATGTCAAAAGCTTAATGATATAACAAAAGTCTAGGGTTATCAAAGTTCTAAACAGAACATCAGGAAAAAAAGTTTTAATGTACTTGCCAAATCTAATACCTAAAGCCTCAAATTCTTTACAGAGGGTAGAAAAAGGGGACAAAGGTAATTAAATGGTAAAAGTCAGGGATCTTTCTACTCAGAAGCACCTTGGGCTGGTTTTATCACACAATCTTAACACAACAGACTGAGGTAAGTGTTCCATCCAACCAAAAATATACTGACAATACAAGGATACAATCTGTTAAGTCAACAATTTACCTGGCTATTGCACTTAGCTGAGTCAGATGACAAAGAACAGGTGGCCCAAGACAATCCATTCCCCACATTTGAAGACACAAGCATTAAGGGAAAGATGTGAAAGGGGTGAGGGGGCACAAAAAAAAAAAAAGAAAAGAAGAAAAGGACAGATTCGGGGAGAGCAAGGAAGCTCAGGATAGACAGAAAAGGTTAACTTTTTTTTTACTTTGATAAGTCTTCAATTACTTTTTAAAAAGTTCTGGGTAAGGGGCGCCTGGGTGGCGCAGTCGGTTAAGCGTCCGACTTCAGCCAGGTCGCGATCTCGCGGTCCGTGAGTTCAAGCCCCGCATCGGGCTCTGGGCTGATGGCTCAGAGCCTGGAGCCTGTTTCTGATTCTGTGTCTCCCTCTCTCTCTGCCCCTCGCCCGTTCATGCTCTGTCTCTCTCTGTCCCAAAAATAAATAAACGTTGAAAAAAAAAAATTTCTTAAAGTTCTGGGTAAGATACAAAACCTTATTTCATATGGGCTATTTTGAGATCATACTTACCAGCAGTTGTTTTCAGCAACTGATGTGGATGACTATACTTGAATGAAGGATAACCAAAGAAACACACATATTTTGGCTTCAAAACATGAACATTACTACAGGTTTGAAAGTAGCGAACACAAATCTAAAGATGAGAAAACAAAAAAGTAAAAGCTTTTATGAATGTTCTCGATGGCTTTTCTCTGTAAGTATATATTCAGTTTCAAGTTTATTCTAAAGGTAGAACAGTCATTATCAAAATACAAACAATATGAAAGTATCTAGGCCAAAATCTGAACTGGCTAAAACCTGGTGTCAGGGACAGTCAAGTTTATTAAGATAGGTTATTTTTTAAGTACTGTATGTCTGTTCGGGAAATCAAAGGAATTTAAACCCCAGAACCCAAAGAACATTTTGTTGTTCTTTTATTTAGTAAAATTATATCCCTGGAGTCAGATTTATTTATGTGCTTATGATCCTTGCCTAAAATTTCTTATAAAAGTAAAGAAATTTTAACATATTCTGTACAAACACATTGTAAGTACAGTTGAGTCAGTAAAGACTTCCTAAAATAAAACTTAAAGAATTCAAAACTGACTTTTAGTATCTAAAGACACTGAAAAACATATGTAGTGATGTATGGAAAGGTTTTCTTACTGGAATTTATGGATGACTCTTTAGATGCAACTATTTTATAGAATATCCTAGAATAATACATGACAATATATAATAGAAATAAGTGTGCCTGAATCTATTTGACTTGATATCTTAAAACCTAGGTGTTTGAAATGTAGACTATTTTATTTTGAAAGTTAATATTTCAATGTTATTAATACCTGGTTAACTATATCACACTTTTAAATGTAATATATAGAAATTTTTAACCTCCTTAATGTATCTGAGAATATTGTCATGTATTTTAAATTTTTTTATTAATGTAGGAGAGAGTTACTTTTACTTAAAAAAATTACTTTATTATCATGTACTTTATATTTTAGTGATTAGCCCTTAAAATTTTTAAATTTGGGGGCGCCTGGGTGGCGCAGTCGGTTAAGCGACCGACTTCAGCCAGGTCACGATCTCGCGGTCCGTGAGTTCGAGCCCCGCGTCGGGCTCTGGGCTGATGGCTCAGAGCCTGGAGCCTGTTTCCGATTCTGTGTCTCCCTCTCTCTCTCTGCCCCTCCCCTGTTCATGCTCTGTCTCTCTCTGTCCCAAAAATAAATAAACGTTGAAAAAAAAAAAATAAATAAATTTAAAATTTTTAAATTTGTAATACATATACGTTATGTATTGTAGCCATATTATAATATGTATTTATAAATAAGAATTTTGTTCTTTTTCTGACAGCAAATAATATAAAAACAAATATTTGGTTTACTAATAGGAATAATATATTTAAATTATTATGTGATATTTCACCTTAATTTCCAAGATGCTACTCATTTCTGAAGGCAAAGAAAAACTAAAGATCCCCTTCCTAAAACACAAATAATCTTAAATCATGCATCTTAGTTTTACTTTAAGAGCTAATCCAAAAGCAACTAATCTTTATAATATCTATATTTTATTCTTATTAAAATTAACGTTGAATTAACATTCAAACCTAACTGAAATTGATAGCTTAAAACATAGCAGATAGTGAAAGAATGCTCTTTTCCAAACCCCCATTTTCTATGTTCATACTTTCTACTTCAACTCCCATAACCGTGGCTCTTGGTCAACAACAAAATCAAAATTAAATAAATTTAATTTTGGGCGAATAAATGGATGTTTTGAATTATACAGGTTCACCTTGATTTTAAAAAAATAGTTCTTTTAAAAATAACCTTTGAAAGAAAATTAGACTATTAGAAGGTCCTACCTTCAACAACACAAGTTTTATTGAAGAACTACTAATCAGGCAAAGGAGGGACAAATTGCCAAACGTTTACTGAATGCCTACTATGTGCTGGGTACTTTACAGGTCTTTAAATGCATCACCTTCCTTTTACCTCATAGTTATCTTCTGGAATAGGCACATTAGCCCTCTTTAACACATGAGAAACGAATGATCAGAGAGGTAAAGTGATTTGTCCAAGGTCCTATAGCAAACAAATGGCAAAATTCAGCTCTGAAACCAAGTAAATTTGATTCCAAAGCCGAGGCTCTTTCTATCACACACTGTAACACACTGTTACACGTGGGAGAAATAACCTCTGCTTTGAACTTATAACTTAGCTGAAACAACACACACACACACACTTGCATGGGCATGTATGCTCTTGTTTTTTGTAGTAAGTATTGGCAGCAGGTGTTAGAAGAGTTTAAGAATAGAGTCTTTTGTGTTTTGTTTTGATTTTTCAAGTTGGTTTGACCTAGGAAGGCTTCTTGGAGGAAGAGTTGAAGTGGACCTTGCATCATAAGTATTAATAAATAAAGAGCAGAAATGCACTTTAAGGCAGAGGAAACAGCATAAAGAAAGGAAATGACGCAGGAACTTGTCTCCCGGGGCAGAGTGGCTTGACCAAATTTATAAAAGGGAGCAGCGTAAGTGGCTCAAGGACCAAATTACTGATGACTGTAAATGTCAGGATAAGGAGTTTGAACTCATACACTATAGGTTATTGAAGAAAAAGAACTAAGAAATTAATCTAGTTGCAGCTTATTGATTAGATTATAACAGGTAAAGCCAGGTAAGAGAGGAAAAAGAAAGTAGAATAGTATTTGAGGCATGAAAGAACAGGCTCCTGAAGTGATTTACAGTGGAAAAAGAGAAAGCAACAGGCATTATGCGATAAGTAGCAACTACATGGATTAAGAGAAGGCTAAAAAACATTAGTGAGGCTGCTGAATGGAAAGATAAAAAAGCAATAGGAGGGAGAAAGAGAAAAAATAGTTTTTCAAGCTGAAAAAGACATTTTTCCTGGAAACAAAATATAAAAAAAAATAGGAGATGAAACAAAGGTTTAGCAGATTCAAGTAAGGAAATAAATAATAGTTGTTTATTGAGCAGTTGTTGAGCACTCCCAAAAACAGGGATTGTGCTGGGCTTGGGAATTCAAAGCTAAGTAGGCTACAGAATATAGTCCCTGAATTCAAGTTGCTTCATTACAGGAAGACAGATAAAATAGAAAAATTCAGGGTTAATTCAGTATTGGTTAATCAAGAGTCAAATGCATGATGCATAGGTAGATTAGAGAACAAAATAGATGTTAATTCCTTCTCTTATGGAAAGTACAGTCCACACCTTCAAAGATAAAGACAAGGACATAGGTGATTATGACATAGTGTTATAATAGGAGAAATAGAGTATTAAAGGAACACAAAGGAGGGAGAAAGTAAAGATCTAAGGGATGAGTAGGAGTAATCCAGGTGATGAGGTGTGTTAGCAGATGAGGCCATAGGGAAGGAAGGCAAGAGTCTTTAAAGCAGAGGAAACACACGTGCAAAGATCTGGAGTCTGGAGTCGAGAGAGAGCAGTGTGCTCAATTGACTTAAGTTCAATATAGTTCCAGTGTAGTTTAGTATGGGGTAAGGGTGAGGGAAGTGTCAGAGTGGGGGTTGGGATGGGTAAGTTTCAGCAAAAATGAAGCCAGAGAGATTTGGAAAGGTCCAGATCATAAATTGCCTCACAGTCTTTTAAATTTTGGACATTTTGCTTAGGGCAGTTTCAAGTGAGGAAATGACATTCTCAAATTTGTGTCTTACTTTTTAAGATCATCCTGGCTACACTATGGAGAATGGGTTGGAGAGCCACCAGATTGGAGGCAGAAAGTCCAATTAGTCCTTATCCTGGACGGACCAGGATAGCAGCAGTTGGGGGCAAGGCAGAGAATTACAACTAAATTTGGGAGATTTACAGGCTAGAATCAAAAGAGAAACAGGTCTGAGAGTTTAGTTCTGGAACCTAGAATCCGATGTGCCATTGAGGCATTACGGCAGAACTGTGATGCGGCTAAATGCTAGCTCCTTCAAGACTCCGGGTGTTAGCAGTGTGGCCATGTAACATAGTCCTGATCAATGAGTCTGAATGGTACCACCCCTTCCTCCTTCCTGCCCTGAGTACGAAGTTGTAGAAGCTCTCTTGTAACCATGAAAAAGGGCAAACTTGCTGAAATGACAACCTTGATAAATATGAGCCACTTAACCAATACCAGCTTCCATCTAACTTCGGGATGCATAGATACTTAATTTCCCATTTATTGGCTAGGTTTTTATTACTTGCAGCTGAAATATTGCAATAGAATATATATGGGTCTGGAGTAGAGCTGGCTTGAAGACTGGGGAACTTTAGGAATCATCAGCACATACATGGCAACTAAATTCAAATAAGTGGCTGAAATAGTCCAGGAAGTGCCAAAAGTGCTGAGGGCCAAAGTCAGAGCCTTTAGAAACACCAATACATATTTAAAAGTTTGGGCAGGAAAACAGGAGATTGGGATGAAGTGGAAAACATATAGAAGAAAAATATTGGGAAGCTGGTGTTACAGAAGCCAAACAAGGAGAACTCTCAAAAGAGAGGCCAATACCTAGCAAGGTACAAATTTCAAGTTACACGGTATCCTCTGAGAACTCCTTTCAGACCCCCATCCCCCCTCCTATGTGTTCCTGTAACTCTATAATGTCCCATCATAGCACTTCTCAAGCTGTTATAATTGCTTGTTTGTCTGTCTCTCTCTCTTTCCTCTGTCTTCCACCACAAGGCTGTAATTAATCTGGGACCACAGGGGTCCTATTCATATTTGCATCCCTAGTGGCTGCACAGTACCTGGTACACAGCAGGCTCTTGACAAATTTTGTAAGATCGGGGTTTGATCACTGTAAGACCTTAGGGAAGAGGAGTCCCAGAAAGAAAAACCCTACGCAGATAGGATAAAACACTATGATTACTAGGATGTTAGGTGTTTGGTGCTAAAGGGTTGTTGAAAGGGAGGAACTTCAGGGAAGATGGTGGTGGGTCGTAACTCTGGTGATAAAAAGGTTGGAAAGATACGTGGCGCAGACACAACAGAGAAATACAGGTCCACAAAATAAAGCTTAAGCCTCTGCTCCTCGGAGGCAAGGGCCCATGGTGTTATGCTTTGCTTCATGGGTCTCTTCCTCTAGACTATAAATTCTCTAAGGCAGGGGTCGTGTTGTCAGTGTTTGGCAGAGTGGGTGTCCAATAAATGCTTAATGATATATATCTGCATATCCCCAGCGCCTATCACAATGCCCAGCACCTAGACAGTGCTCAATAAAAGGCTAACGGGCGAAAGGTTAGATGAGCCTGGGTGTAGACAAAGCTGGAACGCGACCGAGTGGCGAAAGAAGCATGGCCAGGTAAGGCTGGGAGTGGGTCTCCAGACCGGTCTGCTCACCACCTTCTCTGCCCTTCATTTAGCATACATCCTTTTACCTCTCCGTCACGCGTGCCCTTTCCGCGTGGCACTCGGAGGACAAAGTAACATACCTCCCCGGGAATACTCCCGACACATTATCCCTTCCTGAACTCAACTCAAACCAAACCGCTTACCAGCCGCCCAGCATTCCGGCTCCAGATTCCCAGCACTCGCACTGCGGCCATCTTACCCGGAAATGACAAGTGCACCGCGGTTGTTAGACTTGTCTCGGAGGTTGTTAGACATGTCGACCTATCCGGAGCCGGGAAACGCACCTCCCCCTGAGCGGCCAATGGCGAGGGAAGGAACGAGCCTCCCACCGGACAGCCAACCAGGGGGCGGGGCGGGGCCTGAGATAAACACTTGGGGGTGGAGAGTCCCGCGTGGAGGTAAAAGAGCATGCTGGAGGGGAAAGAAGTGGGGAGGAGTCAGCTCAAAGTTAATTTCAGGGACAAAGTTGGGCAAGGCATTGCTGTGCTTACCAACGATCATCTTTTGAGTCCATAAAGTGGAAATAGAATGTTAAGGGAACACAAAGGAAGGGCACTTGTCTGGAGAGAGTTATGGTGGAGGGATGAATTAGAAAATATCTGCTTTCAGCTTGTATTATAACCGCCTTGATTACAGAAAATGGGACATTTCTATACTCGGTGGCAAGGCTCTGTGCCACTAATTGAGTCACAAATCTATGCTGGAATACTATCTAGTGATTGATACTTCTTACTCCCACTGAGTGTTCTTGATTAATGAAATTGCTTTTTCAATATCCCTCCCCCCCCCCCCCAGAAGTTAAAGTTTACCCTACTGTCTAAAATAAAGATACCAACACTATCTTTTCTCCTTAGAGAATGTTGTCAGATGCAGCTGCCCGGCGTACGCAATATATCACAGACCTACAACCTTTATCTACTTGCCTCTTGGAGAAATGTTAAGTTGAGGTCAAGTTGATAGGGGGTAGATCAGAGTATTGACGGTCAATCTTTATCAGAGCAATTAAGACTCCAATTTCTAGAAATGTTCAGGATGACATTTGCCTGGTTCTTGCTTTTTACATGGGAATTAAAATCTGTACAGATGTCTAAAGAACTAAAGAGAAAAAAATGGGAACAAAGACAACATTGTAAGTCCTCAACATTGAAGGTTAGTTCACAGTTATTTCACAAATTTACTGTCTAATATTACCCAAACTCACACTTTTTTTTTGCTTTATTTGCTTTTCAGTATATTTCACATACACACTATTGTAAGCAATAATCCAAATCATTACTTTTATAACAAATCTGGGACGGTTAAAAGAACTTCAATTTTTTAACTGCCCTATCAACAAAACATTTTATAAGTATTATTAATACATTTGATAATCCCACATGCATGTGTGTTTTTTAACTTTTTTATTTTAGACAGAGCACATGTGAGTGGAAGAGGGGGAGTGGGGCTGAGGGAGAGAGGGAAAGGGGGGCAGAGAATCTCAAGCAGGCCATACTCAGTGCTGAACCCCACGTGGGCCTTGACCCCATGACCCTGGGATCATGTCCTGAGCCCAAGTAGTCAGATGCTCAACCAATTGAGCCACCCAGGCACCCCACACATGTGTGTGCATTTTATAAAGTTGAAGTAGCTGTGCCTTTGAAGTGAATTATTTTTCTTCCCAGAGCCCCTATACTACCTTCTTCGTCTAAATTTTCCCTTGAATTCTGCCTTCTCCTAAGAAAATATTTGGTTGTTCTTTTCTTTTACCCTCTTTTTCCCTCAGTGGATTACTATTTCCACATTCAGTAATTGTGTGTGTCCTTATCTTTTAGCATTAACAGTTATGCCCCCTACTCACTAGTTAATCCTTTCACTTGATCACAAAAGAACCAAAGAACCATTTTCCCTTTTTTTTGTAAATAAATAAAATGACTGATTATGACCCATTAATTCCATTGCTAGGTATCTACCCAAGAGAAATGAAAACATATCCACACAAAGACTAGTACAAGAATAATGGAAATAGCATTCTTTTTAATAGCCAAAAACTAGAAACAGCCTAAATATCTTTCAACAAGGGAATAGATGAACAAAACGTGGTATATCCACCTCATAAAATATTATTTATCCTTAAAAATTACTGAAACACTGGTACATGCTATAACATAGATGGACCTCAAAAATACTATGGGAAGTAAAAAAAAAGCGAAACCCAAAAGTTCATATATTGCATGATTCTGTTTGTATGAAATGTCCCCCCCCCAAAAAAAAAACCACCCCAATCTACAGAGATAGCAAATTAGTGGTTGCCTGGGGCTAGGAATGGGAATGGGAAATGACTGCACAGGAGCAAGAAAAAATTTTCGTAGTGATAGAAATTTCCTATTATCAGACTGTGGCGATGGTCACATAACTGTAAAGTGTACTAAAAATCACTGAATTGTATAGTTAAAACAAGTGAATTTTATGGTATACCTCAATGAAGCTGTTAAATTTTGTGTTCTATTGTGTACTTATAAAAGAATAATGTAACATATAGATAAGTCATACATAATAACAAAAACATTGGACCCATTATACAATTTAAGAAATAAAACATTTCCTATGCTGGTGAAGGTCACACTGTCTGCTCCTCCTCTAAACCCTTCTTTCACCCAAGGTAAACATCATCCTGCATTGTGTGTTCAGCATTCCTTTGTTTCCATATGTTTTATACAGATCTCTAACAATATCTTGTTCACCTCTGCCTATTCTTGAGTCTTATAGAAATGATATCAAATTGTATCCTTCTGCAACCAGCTTTTATGACCATACCACAACTTATTTATCCATTCTTTATGTGATGAACATTTGCGCTGTTTCTAGTTCTTTGCCACTGCTATTACCACCAGTGCTGCTACGTGAATTCTTTTCTCTTGGACATGTGCAAGAGTTTTTTTAGGGCAGTGTTTCTCAGATTGTAATTAACATTCATATCAACTGGGAATCTTGTTAAAATGCAAATTCCAATTCAATAAATCTGGATGGGGCCTGAAATTCTGCATTTCTAGCAAGCTCTAGATGGTACAATTGCTACTGGTTAGCCAACTACACTTTGATTAGTAAGACAAAGATATATACTTGAACATAGAATTGTGTGGGGCGCCTAGGTGGCTCAGTGGGTTAATCATCTGACTTCAGCTCAGATCATGATCTCACAGTTCGTGGATTGGAGCCCTGTATCGGGCTCTGTGCTGACAGCTCAGAGCCTAGAGCTTGCTTCAGATTCTGTGTCTCCCTCTCTCTCTGCCCCTCCCCTACTCACGCTCACTTCTCTCTCTCTCTCTCTCTCTCTCTCTCTCTCTCTCTCTCTCAAAAAATAAACATAAAAAAATAGAATTGTGGAGACTTTGATTACACTTATCTTTGATTACACTTACTCAAGATAATGAAATATTGTTTTCCAAAATGATGGTGCAAAATACACAGTAGCTGTTTAAGGGAATACCCATAATTTCTGATTTGATATTGTCACACTTAAACAGAATCAATATTTTTCCCAACTTAGTAGTTGTAAACAGGTATCATGGTCTTAGTTTGAAGTTCCCTAATTGTTAATAAGGTTGGACACATTTTCATATGTTTATCAATCATCCTTGAAGTGCCTGCTCATGTTTTTAGCTTATTTTTTCACTATTGTGTACATATATTTTTCTTATTGATTTGTGTAGGATTTATTTATATATTTTAAATTATAATGATCTTTCATTTATATGTGTTTTTGGTGTCTTCTTCCTTGTCTTTGCTCTTTTGAAACTGTGTTTGGTGGGGCGCCTGGGTGGCGCAGTCGGTTAAGCGTCCGACTTCAGCCAGGTCACGATCTCGCGGTCCGTGAGTTCGAGCCCCGCGTCGGGCTCTGGGCTGATGGCTCAGAGCCCGGAGCCCGGAGCCTGTTCCCGATTCTGTGTCTCCCTCTCTCTCTGCCCCTCCCCCGTTCATGCTCTGTCTCTCTCTGTCCCAAAAATAATAAATAAACGTTAAAAAAAAAAAACTTTAAAAAAGAAACTGTGTTTGGTGTACAGAGTGTTTCCCTTTTTTTTTTTTAAAGTTTATTTATTTATTTTGAGAGACAGAGAGAATGTGCACGCAGGCAGGCACATGCACACACACACGAGTGGGGGGGGGGGAGAGAGAGAGAGAGAGAGAGAGAGAGAGAGAGAGAGAATCCCAAGCAGGCTCTGTGCTGTCACACAAATGTGGGGCTCGAACCCACAAAATGTGAAATCATGACCAGAGCCAAAGCCAAGAGTTGGACACTTAACCAACTGAGTCACCCAGGCACCTCTGGAATTCTTCCTTTTCATCATTGATTGCATCAGTCTTTTTCTGTATGGTTAGTGCTTTTTCTGTCTTGAGAAATACTTCTCAATCCAAACGTCCTAAGGTAGTCTGCTCTGTTTCCTTCACATTTAAATCTTTTGTTTTGTTTTGTAATTTTAAAATTGAGATGTTATTCACATACCATGAAATTCACCTCTTTTAAGTGATTTTTAGTATATTCACAAAGTTGTGCAACCATTACCAGTATCTAATTCCAGAACATTTTCACCACCACCAAAAGAATTAATAATATCTTTCCATTCTGGAAATCCCATCCCTCCACCCCCTCTAAACCCCTGACAACTAATAACAGGTCCATAAATTTGCCTATTCTGACATTTCATTTCATATAAATGGAATCATACAATATGTATTATTTTGTGACTGGATTCTTTCACTTAGCATAAAGTTCTCAAGGTTCATCTATTATTCCTTTTAACGGCTCAGTGACATTTCATTGTATGGATATAACACATTTTTGTTTATCCACTCATCACTTGATAGACATTTGGGTTATTTCCATTTTAGAGCTATTATTCATTAAGATTCATTATTATTCATAATAATCATAATGAACATTCTTGCACAAATTTTTTTCTTCTTGTACAAGTTTTTGTGTGGACGTGTTTTCATTTTCTTTCACTTATCATTTTATTTTATTTCAAATTCCACCTAAGAGTGGAATTGCTAGGTAGCATGATAACCCTATGTTTAACTTTATGAGGAAATGCCAGACTGTTTTCCAAAATGGTTGCACCATTTCATATACCCACTAGCAGTGTATGAAGGTTCTGGTTTCATGCCCTCACCGACACTTATTATTATTGGTCTTTTTTATTATAGCCATACTAGTGGGT